GTATGTATCATGCTGCTCAAATGAAAATGTACTTATGTTTTCAATTGATTAATAAACTCACAATCTAGCCTGGCTACGGGTATGCAAAAATAATAATAATAATAATAATTAATAAATTATTATACTAATTCAATTATAAATAATTAAAAAAATTTTTTAATTGAAATAGAAAAAATATTATTTTAAAAATTAATTACTTAAAATATTAAAAATATAAAAACTTTTGTTTTATTTGATATAAACTTTTTATTATATAAAAATTTAAATAAAAATAAAAGTATACTATAATTAACAATAGATTCTTAAAGTATTTAATATATAAAATTTCATAGATTGCTTATGTTTCTATTTAAGAAACAAAATTTATAATTCTTTGGTTTAATAAAAATAAAATTTAAAATATATTATAAATGTATAGTTTAAAGAATAAAAAATTATTTTAAATAGCCTTTTTATAGTTATGAATTTTAAAAATTTTAAAGTTTCTTATTATAAAACATTTAACTTTTATTTTATTTTTTATTTTAAGAGTTTCATATTTAATTATAATAAGAATAACTATTATTTATTTTTTAATATTATGATTATTTTTATAAATAGAATTTGTTTAATTGAAGAAGAATATTATCAAAATATATAATTAAAGTCAATAAAAACATGTTTACATTTTAATAATCAATGTTTTTCATATTAATCAATAATATTTAACAAGATTAAATGAAATAGGTAAAAATTTTCAGAAAGTAAGAACTCTAAAAAGATTGAAATAATTAATATAGAATAAAAATAATTTTTTTTTACTAAAAAAAAAACCTTATAACAATTTGCTTCAAAGACAAAAAAAAAAAAAGATTTTATTACTTTACGATTAATTTTTTTTTCTTTAAAAACTTTTTTTATTGATGATAAAAGTATTACTTGATTTTTTTTAATTATTAAAGTCAAGTTTAATTTAAAAAAATAGTCAACAAGAAAAAAAAGATAATAATAATCCTTAGAAATATACAATTTAAGACTTTTCTTAAATAAATTTATTCTTTATATCCTAAATCAATATTTGATATTTTATATAACATCATACCAAAATGTTTAATAAATCATAATCTAGTAGAAATCGAAAGATTATGAAATAAGCCGGGGACCCGAGATAATGAAGAGCATACAAACTAGACAAACCAAATATTCAGATCAAGTGATTAATAGTATAGTATATTCCTGTAGCGTCAAACTTCCGAAAATTATGTTTTTAAGGAATGGCCCTCGGTCTCTGCGTAAAAGTATATCTCAATACAGATAGTCTCTATATTAATTACCGACTCGCGACAAATTAGGTTAAATGTCGTGTCGTTACATAAATGTTCGGCCAATTGCAATACTTGACATTTTTATCATGAACTTTAATAACTGCTGCAAATAAGGGTTGAGAGTTAGATTGGATACTAGATATTATATTCACACGGTCACAGGTTCATCTTAGTCCATTTTCGGTTTGGCATTGGTGAATAACTCATGAATTTGTTTCGGCATAACTTTTTTTGGATCTTCTAGGGGAACAATATTAGCGACATTTGTTACATATAAACAATACGAGTTTGTGGGGTACTTGGACGATCGTCAAGGTTAAAAACGCGATATTTGGATTGTTTCATGTACACGTAACAATAACAATAATGATAACTTCTTTACGTCGTGTTTCTTTAATTACGACAAATTTTCCTTTAAGATTTGCTCAAATTAGCCGGAATTTGTCTTCAAGATGGTCGGCTACATTAGGCACCTTTAGGTTACCTGATATAGACAATGAGCCTATGGTAGGGCCATATGATAAAAAAAATTTCCTTTATCATAAATAAATTTTCGGAACTGCATTCTTATTTCTTTGGTTCTGATAAATAGAGAAGTTATCCACCGGGTAGCGAGGATCGTATAAAACTTCAAGCCGCTTTAAAGGAACTTCGAGATATAGCGCCGGCCGAAATTCCTGTTTTTGTCAACGGCAAAGAGGCAATATTTATAACTTGACCTTTTTTTCAAAGCTTATCAAGTCGCGTTTAAAAATCAGAAACTTGTTATATTAGGTCTACACTGGAAAACTAAAAGATCAAAGGATTCCGTCGGATCACAATTCTTTACTAGCGAAATATCATGAAGCCGATCCATCCATTATCGAAGAGGCTATTGAAGGTGCCTTGGCTATTAAACCTATTTGGGAAGCTTATCCGCTGGCCGATAGATCAGCTATCTTTTTGAAAGCAGCTGATTTGGCAGCTGGTAAATACCGTTATAAATTATTGGCCGCCACAATGCTTGGACAAGGAAAGAACGCATGGTAAGTCGTGATGGAATTTATTCTTAAATTCAACAATGTATACAATGTAATTTCTTTTTTAAATTATAATTAGGCAAGCTGAAATAGATGCAGCAGCCGAGACAATAGACTTTTGGAGGTTCAATGTGAAATATGCTCACGAAATGTATCAACAACAACCAACTAAAAACTCCCCTGGTGTATGGAATAGAGTAGAATACCGCCCTCTGGATGGTTTTGTTTATGCCATTACACCATTCAACTTTACAGCTATTGGTGGTAATCTTCCAAGTGCGCCCGCGCTACTGGGGAATGTCGTTCTTCATAAACCTTCAGATGGCGCTATCCTCTCCAATTGGATTATCATGGAAATATTAAGGGAGGCTGGGTTACCTGACGGCGTAATACAATTCATTCCTGGTCCTGCACAACAGATCACCGAAGAAATATTAAAGTCTCCAGATTTCACTTCGCTGCATTTTACGGGTTCCACGGAGGTGTTCAGAAAACTGTGGAAAGATATAGGAAATAATATTGGTAATTACAGGTCGTATCCGAGAATAGTTGGAGAAACAGGAGGAAAGAATTTTCATGTTATTCACGAATCGGCTAATTTGTCAAACGCTGTGAATCAAACTGTTCGCGGAGCATTTGAATATCAAGGACAAAAATGCTCTGCTTGTTCACGTGCATACGTTCCAGATTCGTTATGGGAAAATTTCCGCAGCGAATTGCTTAAGAAGCACGCTACAATTAATGTTGGCCCAGTGGATGGTGAGTTTAATGTTTTTTGTTCATTTAATAGTGAATTTTTTTTACTCATCGCACTAATTCTTTAATGTTATGTAAAAATAGATTTTAGCAATTTTTTAGGTCCTGTCATGTGAGCAAATAAACCACCACCTTAGTTAGGCTTTAAAATATGTAAACGGATCTAATATACCTTGTTGTGTAGAAACGCGAACGCATTTAAAAAGATAAAATCTTATATTGAATGGGCTAGGCAAGATTCGGAAAGCGAAATTTTGGCAGGAGGAGAATATGACGATTCCAAAGGATATTTTATACAACCGACAATTGTTGTTACCAAAAATCCAAGAAGTAGAACCATGGTTGAGGAAATCTTTGGGTACTGTCTGAGGCCACAAGATTTATTATTTAATTCAAAATTGGTTGATATTATTATTATTAACAATTGATTTCTGATACTATGTTTATTGTTATAGACCTGTGCTGACAATTTATGTGTGAGTATTCTCGAATATCTATATCTACTGATGACAGGACAGTTGAACCTCTATAAAATCGATTGTTTTTCGTTCAGATACAAGGCGGATGAATATGAACAGATTTTGGATTTAGTAGATAAAACGACTAGTTATGCACTGACAGGATCCGTGTAAGTGATTTGATTTACAGGATCAACCTAGGAATGCTAAGTTTATTAAAGACAAAGTTTAATCTTTTGTTAAAATTAGATTTGCACAAGATCGCACAGCAGTATTATTAGCTCATAACAAATTAAGGCATTCTTCAGGCAATTTCTACATAAATGATAAATCTACTGGCGCCATCGTAGGTCAACAACCGTTTGGTGGTTCAAGAGCTTCTGGAACTAATGATAAAGCCGGAAGTATTAATTTGGTAATGATTAATTATAATGAACGTACATTTATGATTTCATTTCATGCCTTTTGAAAGTCTTATTGATACTACCGATAATTTAAAATTAGTTATATCGGTTTTCGTCAATGCGCACCATCAAGGAAAATTTCATCAACATTGATGATTACACCTATCCCTCTAACCTGGTCTAGTGAATTTCCGAACTCTATAGTTTAACAGTAACGATTCCTAATTTTAATTTATTTCTTGAGATGATTTTATGCAATGCCTTTCAAAGATGAATATTGAATTTCTATAATACATTCTAAAAAATAACCTTTGAATCTTGATAATGTCCAACACTTAATTAAATGCAATGATAACTAGGTGGACATGAATAAAATCACCTAGATAAATAAAAGCAGACCACTAATTAATTATTATGGTTTGATTATATCATGAGAAAAGGGCTAAGCCAATTTTTGCGCTTTAGAGAAAGTTTTGAATTTTTATATGCACATGTATAACAGTTCAATAATTGATATCGGTAAGTACCTTTATCCTATTTTTTCAGCTCTTACGACAAATCTTTTCTTGGATTTTACATATTTGGCCGTTGCTGTCGTAATATCAACTTGGAAAGGTAAAGTTATGTCCAAAGAATATTTTTCAGGTGAATGTAGAATAAGGCGCGAGGACTCTAGATCTAGCGTAGTTTGTTTAAAAGATTTCTGGTTTTTTTTTTTTTTTTTTTGACCGAAGAGAGAATTTTTATCAATAATAATTCAGCGAGTTCTAATGTCACATGCAAATAATTTCCATCAACCTACAGATTCCAAGGAAGGGGTCTCAATGGAAATGATTAGGTAATCTTTTGTATCTTTACGATCATATGCGATTATGTACTCTGGTCGCTCTAAGGAAGTGATCTTAATAGCCGATTTTTGATCTTCACTGGACTTTTGTTTACTTGACGGAAAAGGGATTTCAGTTATCAACAGATTCTTCCTCTTTGGAATAACGACTGGTTTTTCCCTGATGTTACCCTTGTAGTGCATTTTCGGGTATGCAAACGCTGAATTGAAAGGAAGTTAGTCGGTCAGTTTACCCTATCGAGAACTATATTTACTAAACCTACGTCGACTTAATTGGAGATCATATTGTTCTTCGATCATTTCTGCCGCTAATTCTGTTATGTACAATTTAAAGTCGGGGTCTTTCTTCGTTCTTCTGTAAGGCTCCGTATGTATGATAACATCACATACGAGGCAGGTATTTTGATCTGAAAAATAAACGATCGAATAATTGACTTAATTCAGTTACTCTTAAAGCTTCGATAACATATGATTTCAAGTTAAACCTTTATCTTTATCCTCTCGCAGTTCACCCAAGACAGCTGGAACGTTATAGGTTGTGTCCCCTTTAGCATCCATCGCCTTTCTTATTTCAGCTTCGTCCACGGCTGGCGGACCAGGAATCAAATCCGAATGACACACATTGATCATGAATTTTATAGTCGGTTGATTATGCTTATAACTTTTTTTGGTCAGTGCTTTGGCCACGAATCCTGGATTGGGGAGCAATTGAATCGATTCGGATTCTGGTTCTTTAGTGCTTGTTGGCGATAAAAGTTGACTTGCTAGAGCCGCCATTGCTTGTGGATTTTCCGCAGCTTCTGCCTTTAGTTCTTCCATGAACATATCTTCTGCAGTTTCCTCATCTTGTCCTATCGTAAGCAAAGATTTTAGGTTATCCTGGGGTTTATCATCGAAATCCAACTTCGCGTACGCCATAAAAAAAAAAAAGAATAACGATCAGGAATGAGCTGTCTAATATATGATCTGATTTTCCTTTTATGGTTATTTCATTTTAAAGAACAACATAATAAATTGGTTTTTATGATATACTGTATAAATTTATTATTATCTTGTAAAATACTTGATTTTCTAATTTAAACTATTTAGACTATTATTCAAATATTTAAACTATTTTTATTTATATTTATTTATATAATAGAATTATTTTGCTATTAGTTTTTTTTTAAATTTTTTATATAATTTAAGTTTTTTTTTTTATGTTATATAAAATAATAATAATTTATTGATTTTTTTAAATTGATTCTTAAATATTCCTATTTAAATTTAACATATTATATTATATATAAAAAAATTAATGAATAAAAATTAATTTATTGAATTTATAAGTAAAAACAATTTTTATATATTTTATTTATTATTTTATATTTTATCTATTTTAATAAATAAATTTATTTTTAAAATATTAATTAATTTGATTAATTTTTATTAAAAACTTTTTTTAATTTAAAATAAATATATATCAATTGGATTATTAAATTAAATTTTATATAAAATTAAATAAAACAATAATAAACTATATAAGTGAATAATTATTTTTTGAAGGAAGATAAGGATTTTACTGATTTTATAATTATACTTTTAAAATTTATATTGTATTTGTATTATTCAAAAAATATGAATTAAAAATTTTTTATAATATTTTTATTATATTCAAAAATAATTATCTAAATATAATTATTTTATAATATACATTATTTTAAAAAATATAAAATTAATATGAATATTTATTAATAATAAAATTTTTTAAATAGTATAAAAAATAAAATAAAGATTTTATAAGTCAATATATTTTAATAATATTTTTTTTTTTTGAGTACCCGTAGCCAGGCTAGATCGTCAGTTTATTAATCAAATGAAGACAAAAATACATTTTCATT